TTCCTGCTCCTCTGATGCTGCTTGGCCTGCTGTGTTCATCCGGCTCTACACCTTGTTATCTCAGATTCTCCAGCATCGGCAGTCCTTACTATCTACCGAACCAGATGGCTTTATTAACAACAAATGACAGTGGCTGCCATTAGATTAAGCTTTTTATTACATAGTTTTATTGAATTTATGTTTCATAACCTGCTGTGGTAGGATTCAAACCCATGTTCCCAAAACATTTGTCTGGGGTTTGGATTACTACTATTGACATTACCATTTCACCAACACCTCCCCTGATATTTTTTTTAAAAAAAAAATCAACCTCTTCACACTTAGGACACACTTCTAGGGAACAGGCTGTACTTGAACTAACACTGTCTGGCTCAGGGGCAGGGACAATACTGCAGTGCCATAAAAGCCCTTTTTACATGTCTTTTAAATCAATTTGTTCAAACATGTAATGACACACCTAAAGTTTTTGAAAAGATTTGTAGCTCGGATTGTAGATGAGCTTGTAGACTTGCTTGCTGTGTTTGATTGCAGACGTTTCGTCACCCTGCTAGGTAACATCGTCAGTGCGCCTCCAGTGAAGTGCTGGTGTTCTGTCCCGCTTGGTATTTATATACCTCGGTTTGTTGGGTTGGCATTACTTGCGGTTTTGTTTTTCAGTGGTCTGTATATCAGGTCCAGTTCAATGTGTTTGTTGATGGAATTCTGGTTGGAATGCCAGGCCTCCAGGAATTCCCTGGCATGTCTGTGTTTGGATATACAAACCACTGAAAAACAGAACTGCAAGTAATGCCAACCACCCCAGCAAACCAAGGCAGATAAACAACAAGCGGGACAGAACACCAACGCTTCACTGGAGGCGCACTGATGATGTTTCCTAGCAGGGTGACGCAATGTCTGCAACCAAACACAACGAGCAAGTCTACAACCTAATTACACATCTCCAAAGCAAGTGGGACGAGAACATGGAATTCCTGACCCAGACATAGGGATACTACCAGTGCATGACAGGCGCAACAAGAACCCAGCTTAAACTTATTTTCTTATTAACCCAGCTCTTAGATTTTTCTTTAAAAATCAACCTGTAGAGATGTTATGACAGGCTACCGAAGCAGGTAGGACTCAAACCCAGGCCTCCTGATTCAAAGATAGGGATGCTACTACTACTACAGTGTCACATAGAGCCCTTACAAGAACACACACTTGACATCTTCTAATCAACCTATTCGGAGATGTGATTATACATCTCTGGAGCAGGTGGGACTTGATACTTGGCTTCCTGGTACAGAGGTTGTGACACTACCACTGTACTACCATGGTCCGCACAAGGACACAGCGCTTGATATTTGATCAACCCATTCAGAGAATCTTTAAGGGAATCTGCATTTCTAACACTGTTAAGAAGATTTTTAAGTTTTTTTTGGATAAACGAATCAAAACTATTGATGAAAGGCTCAGTAGCCAGAGGACACATGGCCATCAACGAGACATCAGAATGGTGTGTTGCCTCCCTAGTGCCAGCATCAAGGATATCTTGGATAGGGTGCAGAATATTCTCAAAAGGGTAGAGGGACCAGCAGAAGGTCATTGCACACTTTGGAACTAACGACATAGGCAGAGAAAAGGATGAGATTTTAAGGATAGAAAATAGGAAGGCCAGCAGGTGTAGGTCCTCGAGGGTAGTAATATTTGGATTATTCATAATGCCACGAGCTAGTGAGGGCAGGAATAGGAGGACAGAAAAGATGACGCTGGTACAGGGGAGAAGGATTCACATTTTTGGATCACTGGAATCTCTTCTGGGGCAGAAGTAACTTATGTAAGGATGGATTGCACCTGGCAGTATACTGGCAGGGGGATTTACTAGAGCTCCTTGGGAGAATTTAAACTAGTAAGGGCGGCAGGGCAGGGGAAACAACACACCCAGACAGATAGCGAGGAAAGCGAACAGTCCAAGATTGGTGCAGTTGGGAAAAAGGAGCAAGTCAAACAGTCCAGGCAGGCAGGAACAATCAGAGGACGAGATAGGACTGATAAATTAAACTGCATTTATGTCAAGCAAGAGGCCTAACAGGTAAGGCAGATGAACTTAGTATGGTTGGGAAGATGTGACTGGGATATCACAGCAATCATAAAACATGGCTCAGGGATAGACAGGACCAGCAGTTTAATGCTCCTGGGTATAGATGCGATAGGAAGGATAGAAAGGGGGCAACAGAGGAGGGGGAGTGGCATTTTTGATTAGGGATAACATTATGGCTGTATTTTTTTTTAATTCATTCACGGGATGAGGGCGTCATTTATTGCCCATC